GCACTTCATGTCACTGTATGTTACAAGCATTTTATTGATAATTAGGTCCGATAAATGTTTTGGAAGAACTTTATTTACATGAAAATTTCAGCGAAAACAATGGCATAGACTTTGATAATATTGTGTTAGATAAAACTACCGATGTCTTTGGAACTACCCCATGGACTAACTATTTAATAGAGTGTGAGGTAAAAAAAAAATTGAAACAATAAAACACAAAAGGTAGTAATTGAGAAATGTCGAAAATGCAAAATGTCGAAAATATGAAAAGTTCAAAATACAAAAGATCTTCTTTTTCTTTTAGTTCTACATATTTATTTTTTTGTAAAATAAAATAATAAAATGAATGTTCAGCTGAAGTCTCGGCTGAACTGTGTTACTGTCGCACAACGTCAGAGAAGCCAACTTCAGTGACTCATAATATTTATTCAAAATTTAATAATACATACTTTTTGATCAGGTTCATAGAAACAGAGATTGGGTCGCATTTTCAGGACGGATCAGTTTGGGTTAATTTGGATTAGGTAAATTTGTTGTTTGCTTGGAAAAAGGAAACAAGAAGGAACAGCGCCTACTACGGGTTTCAAACGAAAACTAACCCGAACTAACCCAAACTAACCAAAAATAACCGATAATATCGAAAACTAAACGAAACTAATTCAAATCTACCAAAAAAGTTCTGGGGCCTTTCAATAGACACAATGATTAATTTTTAAACTCTTAATAAAGGTATTTATTCATTCCTTATCGCATTTCGCATTAAAACATGTGCCAACAACTTAGCAATAACTGCCAATTTCCAACTGAATTTATTTAGAGAATATTTCCACGAACGCCTGGCAGGCTCTATAAACTGCCAACGTCACTCCACTTCGATCATAATTTGCTTACGCTGTGCTCGAACGGACACGAATGCAGCCGAAGGTCCTATTACGTTGGCATAAAATGAATATGCTTCCCGGATCATATTATAATCATCCAGAATATCATTTAGTTCCGTGAACGCTAAATTAGTTTATTTGAGTTCGATATTTTATGTAGCACTGACTCACAGGATTTATTGGAATTTTTCATGATCGGAGTCGCAACTTATTTTAAGGGCCAGGCCCCCAATTCTTGAATTATCTCGCATACGAAAATTAAAATGATTTCGAATGCTTCCTATGCAATTCACGTTGCTGTCATTCGAATTCGAATCAACTTACGTATGCGAGGATATTCAAGAATTGACCCCCTGGCCGGTTTCGTTAATTTTAAGAAAAATTGTTCCATTGATTTGGAAGGTTGCCTTATAGTTATTTTGTTTCCTTAAATCCCGTGTTCTTTTGAAAAGCATCCTTTTATAGCCACTGGCATGTCCTCATTAAAAAAGATTTCTCTGTCATACCCGTCCAAGCCACATTGCTTTGTAGATATACCTTATGTCCTTTATTCTCCTCCTAAGTACATCGTTTTTAGCTTGCCCATTGTTCATTTTCAGCAAGATTGGCCCTTCTCGTTGTTTATCCACCTTGAAGCTCTCCAAAATTTCACTATTTGCAGTTTGCAGCTGCATGGCTTCAAAAATCTTCTTAATAGTGTCAAAAGTGGAATTCATTAACTTTATAAAATCTTTATTCGACCAAAATTATTTGATATAAACTGTCCTGATTTACACAAAAAATTTCAATCAAAAAAACAAAATTGACATGTCTGAGCGATTTTTCAAAAATTCTACCGTTTTCAAAATAATGAATTTATCCGTTAGTTTACGGACACACTGTATATGTTCTGTGTTGTGCCTAGTTCAGTTTTTATGGAAAATAATATCACAACAAAAACATTTCATGTAAAAAAATGGCCAAGTAAGCGAGAATACTAGGTATCCCTAAAAAAAAGTAAAATCAAAGTCAAGCCAAGTTCTTTATTACGCATTCGAAAATAAAATGGTGGCTTTATTTATTCTAAAATGTTTCAAACTTGGCGAGTACCTACAGTCAAAATTTCGTTTAAAATACCAACATGCAAAGATTAGCCCTTATTACGTTAAAGCTCCGTCTGTCTGTTCCCCAGACTCTTGTGTTTAACGATAGCTGTGGAGGGTGGTCAAATTTTCAGGCTTTTTGTTTTTTTTTTCCACTAATTTCAGCCTTCTAGCATTTTTGGAAGTACCTAATGCCGGTTTTTCACCAAACCGACAAAACAAAAACAAAACTTAAACTAAGACAAATCTTTAACTTATCCCAAACATTTTCAAGATTAGCGTGTTTTGCGACAGGTGGAATTTTGTTTTTCGGGTTAATTTCGTGTTTTAAAACATGTTTTAAAACACAAACTCAACAGTCCATTTAGTGGAAAACCGGCATTAGAATTTTGATGATCTATACATGAGTGAGTGACAAAATTGGTGTTTTTTAAGGCCATGTGACTTGTTGGTTGATGGAAATCGATGAAATTTCGTTTTAGTATTAGTATTAGGTCTAAAAAGATCTGCGACTGTTATGTGCAAAATTTCAGTTTTCTAGGACACTTCAGAGCTGAGTAACAGGTAGGTCGAAAATGCCCTGAGTTGTTTCGAGAAAAGATATACAGTAGTGCGCGAACTTGGCGGGGGGCACTACTGTGTCCGACTGGTATTTTATTTGATAAATAATGACAAAAAATGTCTGGCTGCGCCACTGACGAATAGAGACATTTTCGCTATCCTTACTGAGGTCCCCTCTCTATTGATTTCGAAAAGAAAGAAGAAGACAGCAAGTGCCATAGCGATAGAGATAACGATTATTATCCGTTACAGACTCCCGCCTCAGGTGCGCATTTAACAGCTAGTGAACAATGGTTGAAAAACTAAATCCCGATTTACCTGATATTGTAGTGGCAACGGCAGCTAAGTATTTCCCGCCATTCATAGAGATGACAACGAATGTGTTTTGTTTACTTTCTGAAGACGAGAGATCAGGCATTCGGTAAGTTTAAGATTTCAGAAGTTTACGTGAAAAATCACCAATTGTCAAAATTAAAGTGCTGAGAACTGATAATGATGATAAATTCTGCCAATAGAAATTTTAACAGGTATTTAATTTAAAGAATGCTGGCATCATACACTGAGAAAAAAAATAGGCTGTTATAACTAAAAATTTAGTAAATGTAACTAGAAGCGTGGATAGCATAGAGGACAGGTCAAAAATTTAGTTGCAACGGCAAATATGAATTAGTTCGTACGACATACGACTTTCGAGGTTATATCAACTAATATTTTAGTTAGCCGCAAACATTTATTCTTAACCTAAAAACTTATTGCAGCAACTATTATTTCATAGTTGTCCGGAGTTATTCAAGCTATAATTTTGTATTGGTGTAACCAGTATAATTATCGATGACAACTCATTTTCTTAGTTGACTTTGCCTTCTTGCTTAGCAGTGGCAACTAAAAAGTATTTGTTATAATAGCATGGAAACTAGTTATACCAGCAATCATTTTTGGTTTACCAAGAAAAATGGAAATTCAACAATTTATAACTACCACAATAACATTAAGGTGAATATTGTATTTATTCAAATAAATTGCTGAAGTCGCATATTTTTTTGTAACCTTAAAATTCTTGCAAAAAATACCTACGATGTCGTTTTTTTTGAATTTTAAGTTTATAAAAAAATATGCGAATTCAGCAATTCGTAATTAAATAAACACAATATTCATCTTAAGGTTATTGTGGCAGTTACAAATTGTTGAATTTCCATATTTTTAAGTAAAATCAATAGAAATATAAAAATACAAACATATTGTTTTTAATAATTATTTTTATTCCAAAATATAGTACATGTGAGTATGAGGACAAACACAAAATAAATTCTTAAAGTAAACAATTTTCTAAGAGAAAAAACATGTATAATGTTGATATTAACTCGCGATTCAACTTCATAAATCAGTTTCTTATAATAACTAGTCAACTATAAACATGTGACAAGTGGTTTCTATTGTCAATTATTATTTTTTTGTTCAATACACTGAATTCACAGTACACGCGCACATCACCAAACACGACGTTTTCTGCGTTTTCCCGAACTCCGAAATCGACAATTGAATTCTGCGCATCAATTGACCGTTTGAGGAGACAGACTGAATACACGCAGGCGACTCGTGGCCAAGTACGGAGACAAAAACAAGATCGGCACTGGTGGGGAAATGAGCGCTGCATTCTATTGGTCCGTACAATTAACTGAGAAATACTAGTTGTGAGAACTAGGTTGCTGCAACTGGTTTTTTAGTATTAATAGGTACATATTTTGGTTATTTTTTATTTAACCAGCTTAATTAGTAATCACAACATGTTGTAACAACCAAAATTATAGTTAGCTATGTTTTAACAACAATTTTTAGTACTTAGAACTGATTATGTCAGTTAAGATGATTTCCAAGGTACAACTAATTTGAAATGGCTTGAATAACAAAAACAGAGTGGCCGTAATAACTATTTTTCTAGTAATGGCTACTATAAAAATTCAACCCACGTGCTTAGTTAACGTGTTTTTCTCAGTGTACATCTGAGCAAGTCGTAATGGGCTGAAGCTCGTATGACAGCATGCTACCTGAAAAATAATTCAGCATCTTCAAAACTTTGGCGAGCTTCGAATGCTTACTTAAGTTGAGTCAACTTTTGAGATCTAGTCTAAAGAATTTTATTATCGATAACTGCACTTTCTAGCGATCAGACACTTACCTAAGCTCAACCTCTATAATTTAAGTTAAATAACCTTTGAAAACAACGATTCTATTTCAAAATTTCAATGATCATGGAGTGAAACATCGTTAAATCCGTATTTCAAAATTCAACTCTGTCTTAGCACACATGTGATCCTAAAACTCGTTTTACAATGTTTGAGTTACGAACTTGCTACTACGAGCGTCAGAAATAAGTCGTTTTTTTTTTCAAATTTAGTGCAGTAATTTGCAAAGAATCTGTATTTTTCTACCTACATATTTTAAAATCATGAAATGCATATAATAAACGTGTACTTACATTACTGTCTCAATTCTACTAAGAGGAGGCATTGAAGGTGCTGCTGCTGCTAGTGAAATACTGTGATTGGCTCTAGATGTAGCATCCATCTGTATAGTTGAAGTAGATGGATAGCATTGATATGCCGTAATCTCGCTAGCAGATTGACTTTTGCTACCACCAACCTTAAAATTGGCTGCAATTTTTCTGGAGTTGGGCCTAATTGGAACTCTTATAGTTCTAACTGGCTTAGGAGGTGGACCAGCTGGTTTTCTAAACCATTGGACATTATGTGATAAATGTAGCCTATCACCTGGTAAAAAATGTAATTGGTTCTCTTCGGGCCAATAATCTTCAAAATCCTTATCAGGAGGAAAGCTGTTTTTGATGCTATTTAAAGATGTAACTAAACAAAAATCCTCTTCCAACAGTTCTTTTTTTATGCCTTGTACTTCGCAACAAAATTTGAGATAAGATAGATTCCAGCCTTCTACTTTTTCTGCATCCGGTTCGAGGGTATCCGATTCGTTAAAAACACAAATTGGTACATATCTTTGGCCATTTTTAACAGTAAAGGGCACTACAGATTCTTTGTTAATTCGAATAAATCCACATCTATTGGTTGTGTCGGTTTGTGACTTATTGGCTAACTTATCACAGCAGTGCTTAAAAAAATTGTAACATTCGGATGCATCAGCGAGCCTTATTACTAAATCTCCTGTATTAAATATGTGCCTTCCAAATTGAGAATCACAATGAACAAAGGAAATTTCATTAAGTAGGCGGGCCTCATTTTTAGTAACATAATAACTGGCTATGTTTATACAGTTGTAAAGGGCAGTACGGATTCGTTGACAGAACCATTGAATCCACGTATTCAATACATTTGTTTCCAGCATACGGACCGAACAAAACTTTTCTCCCAATCGAATTATGTAGGGAATATCATTACCTCCAATAGAACTCCATCCAAACCTCCCCATAGATGAGAATTCATCAATAATTTGAGGATCAGGTTTTTCTTGCAAATCTTGCGTATGATCATTGTTTTTCATCGCACTGGTGTCTGAGGTTAATTATTGTTATCTAGGGCTGAATCTCCAACAGTATTCCGGCTTGTGCACACAAAAATCTAAAAGAAAATATCAAATTAGACTGGTTAGAGGTTATTGATTCAAACTCGTGTAGGGCCACCAGACAGAAGGTCCAGCACGAGGGGTCAACCACTCTGTAAAAATGTGTATACGTATTGCGAAAATGTCGGTATTTCACATGTATTCTGCGAAATTCAACGTATTTCGGTGGTGGTAATTCGAACCTAGTTTTTCGTGGTATTGCCTAATACTTCGAAGTATTTCGAGGTAATTCGAAGTATTTCAAGGTAATTGGAAGAATTTCGTGATAAGCCGAGGTATTTCGAGCTATTTAAGAGTATTTTTTTTATGTACCAAGAACATTTAATTCTCATCACCTGAAATTGAAATAAACTGCTGGACACTTGATCTTACACATACAGATTTTTAGGGAAAATTCAAAGTTTCATATTCTCGGCAAAAATAAAGCTTTTTTAATGTGGTTTGTGGGGTTCAATAGCCTGTTTCTTCCGGATAAAGCTACTTATTGTAAATTTTTTATAGGACCCCAGAGTTGTGATATACAGGGCGATAAATTAGGTGATGCAAAAAATCGAAATGTTTGTGTTCGTGCTATTTTGGCAAAAAAAAATTGTAGTAATTAAAATATGGTTTATTACCAAGGTAACATCAGTACCTCTAGACGTTTTTGTCACTTTTTGGATTTAAGCCCTTTGACCTTGGATATACCATTAAACGTCAAAATATGGCGACAAAATCTTTAAAATACCGTAATAGACCATAAATTCACTGCTAAAAAGTACAACGATAGTATAACGTATGCCCTCTGAGGTTCTGGTAGCTATGCATAGGCTCGTCAACCTGCAAGAAAGTTTAGCGGGTGACTGCTGGACTTGCGCTGAAGAAGTTAATTGTTTATTGTTCAAAACAAAAACGAGCTTTAGAAAGATAGTATAACGTATGCCAAGCATACCAATCGATATTTATGAATAAAAATCCATCGGAAAACGATCGGCATACGGTGTACATGAGACCTGAGGATAGGCCTTATCATTCAAAAATGGGGAATTTTGAGGGCGAACGACGACCCTTAGATCTCACTCACACCGTATGACCGTTGGTATGACGATCGTTTTCCAATGGAGTTTAATTCATAAATATGGATTGGTATGCTCAGCATTCGTTATACTATCATTCCAAAGCTCGTCTTTGCTTTTAACAATAAAGGACCCACTGAGCAAGAAACATCCTTGGGATGTTTTGTAACGTTTTTAAAATGAAACTTATTGAACGTTTTTTACTTAACGTAGTAAAGTCATATTTGTTACTACTTTTCAAAACGTTTTGCATATTTCCCGTTTTCAGAACGTTATTTTGCAATTGTATTGGTTCTGTTGTAAAACTAACGTTCCAATTACGTGAAATACATGTTTACTCTAGCAACGTTGAGAATTCAACGTTGTGTGAACAGTATATTATTTACGTTCTTGCTACGTTTCACGAGATGACATGTTTGTGACGTTTTGTGTTTTATGTTTTCGTTTCATTTCGAAATAAACGTTGCAAATTCGAAACTAACTTGTTTAGTAATATAACGTTTTTTTAATGTTAGGTATAACATGCTTGAAACGTCCCAAAAGACGTATCACTTTCATTATTTTCGAACAACGCCGCAGTTTTGTTTACATTTAGGTTAGAGGTTAGGTTAGGCCAGGCCTGCTGTGTAAAAGTCGGTGTTTCTCTTGTTTCTGGATTTTTATTAGGTAAAATTGGGTAAAATATAGGTTATTTTATGCTATAAAACCCATTTTAATTATTGATATCATCCTATGTGTTTCTTGAAGTGTTTTTTTTGCGTGGTACTAGATAGGTATACCTATATTGTATTGTGCTCCTCTGAAACTGATGTGCTAAACAAAACAGGGTGAGTCTCTGAAGATGGATCACAAAGTAAGTTTATTTTTCACCAAGAAATAGATGTATGATGTATTAGTTATTATTTTAGGTATTGTGGTTGTGCTGGTATCATTCTTTTTTCAAATAAATGCCTACAAGTAGCAGGCAGAAATGGGGCCCAATTCGTAAGAAGGGGATTGGCCGAGGGATTCGCCAACGTTTTCGCCAGTAAATTGTCTCTACATTGTTACATTGTTCGTGAGCTGGCCAGAAAAATTATTTCAAAATAAGGGATTTGCGAAATCGAGGTTTGATTTTGATCTAAACTATGTTTTGATTGTAACTAATTAGTTTGTTTTTTCTAAGTCCTGAATGATGAAGAGGCAACGGAGGAAGGTGGTGATGAGATGGTTTATTCATTCGAACCAGCGCCTTATCAAGCAGAAATTCCAAAATTGGTAAATTTTATCCTTTTAAAAGTTAATTGAAAAAATAACAATTCTGTATTATTTGTTTTAGCGGATTATCATCAGAGGCCAGCCAGAAATCATGTAATTTTTCAATTTAATAAATGAATTAAATAAATATCGCAGTTCGTTTTATTGTAAGTACTTATGTGGGTAATTAATAAAATTTTCAACGGTATAGTTTCGAAACAAAAACGTAACCCGTAACCTATTGAAAAACATCGCATAAACGAAACTATTATAGCATAGTTTCGAAACAAAAACGTAACCTAGTAACATAAATATAACGTTATCATGAGTTTCTTGAAAGAAACATCTCAAAAACGAAACTGTTATGGTATAGTTACGGAAAAAAAACGTTAATTTATAAACGGAACTGCGATTTTGTCACGTTTGAGGACATTTACCGAAACTATTCCATTAAGGCGCCGTCCCAGATCCTTTTCGAATAACGTAACAATGTAACCTAAAATCAAAGATGCGACGAAATTGGGATGTTTTTTTGCTTAGTGGGGATTAACGTCCTCAGCGCGAGTTCCGCGGTCACCCCATAATTTTCCTTGCACATTGACGAGCATATGCATAATTGCCAAAACCTCAGAAGGCATTATTATCGTTCACTTTTTGGCAGTGGGCCTCTGGTTTATAGCTCGATATCGGATGCACAAATTTTGACGATTTTTTCAGATTTGGATACCTGATTTTACGTAGATTTTCTAAAGTCTAAGCAAGATGAAAAATACGAATATTTTTTTTTTTTTATTTATCTACATTTACTGTGACGCGTCTTACAAATCACTCTCTATTCTCGTCCAAATATTAGACTGCCGCCTAAGAAGTTTCATTTCAAAAAAAATATTGAAAACCTGATACCTTGTTGGTCCTCCTGCTCGATGCTTGATTGACATCGATTGGGAAGAGTATCCACAAGATTTCTTATGAAATCTTGTTGAATATTCTCCCACTCTTCGCGTAGGGCCTCAATTAGGTCTTTCAAGGTTTTGGGAGACACATCGCGCGATCTTACCCTTAGTTTTAAATTTGACTAAACATGTTCGATTAAGTTAATGTAGCATACTCTGCATAGCATAGCATCCGACCATCGGAGTGAATTAAAACGAACTGTTCTATCTGATACTCCATTGTGTCGCCTCAATGATCTATTCAATTTTCTAGAAGTTCTTTCCTCATCAAAATTCTTTCATTCCTTCGATCAATTTTTGTTGTATGTCCATCCCCATGCGTATAATTATGACGACCTGTCTCTTGAAATCGATATTTTAAATTATAAATTGTCTTTCTGCTGACATTGTAGAAGTGGGCAATTTGTTCATTTGACATTCCTTCGTTGAGGAGTCGAATGCAATTTGCCCGTTCTGCTGCGGTTGAAAGCCTCATAATTAATAGAATTTTTAACCAATTTAAACGTTGAAATTTTACAGATAATAAATAATAATTGTTTATTTCCATATTCCAGTGGGGAAAATGCCCTCTAAAAAAGGTTTTACAAATTACAATATCTATAGAGTACGTTTTTGTTGATACATTTGAATAAGGTGTCCGGGATACAACTGGAATTAATAGATTTTTTCATTATTAATTATTTTTTTTTAAAGTCCGTTTTGTGTCCCTTCAAATGCCGCCGGAGCATGTTCCTCCTAGATCCGTCCCTGGTAAAAAATATTTATTATTTTACAGCTAAAAACTTCAGTCTAATTGTGTATTTCTTCGATAGTTGAGTAATTACTGATTTTAGACATAATGTCGAAATATAGGTTACTTTTTTGCTGATTAGGTTACGTCCACATTCGGTAAACGGAAGAATTTGTTTTGAGATAATAGAGAGTTATTGGACGTTCAATAAGGACAAGCAGTATTTAAGTTAGTCTTATTTTGACATCTACGCATGCGCATTTGGGTCTGAAAATAAGGATTCCCTAAATAAGGTTACTGCTTGTCTTTATTTGTGTATGGTTAGTGCAAGGCAGTAAACTTCCCTTATTTCAAATTTCTGACATTTTGGACGACTTTGACGTTTTGCTTTTCGAAGATGACGTAATTTTACTTAGAAAAATTTATTTTTTACAATAGTTTTCCATTTTACTGTGGGTAACATCACAACATGGGTATCAGCAGAAAATCACAAACAAAAATAAACACTTTTTGAGGCTGAAATTTATAAACATAGCTATCAGCTGTCAAAATTATGAATACAAAATAAGGTAATACTCTAGCACCTACTACAGTCTTCCAATAACTGTTTTTTTCTTGGAGAAATAGTGCTGATGCACTAATAAAATAACGTAGATCCTTAATACTGCTAGGCAGTATTTAATAGTTCCAATAACTCTCTATTGACAACTCCAACTTGACCGATTTTAAAGCAAAACAAATTCAGTATGTCTTTTTGGCACGCGATCATTATCTCTAAACAACTTCGTGTGTCCTACGTAGACTATGACTATAAAAGATCCGCATAAAATGAAGTTTCCAAATTTGAAAAAATCGTCAAAATTTGTGCATCCGATATCGAGTGATGAACCGTAGGCCCACTGTCAAAAAGTGCAACGATAGTATAATGCCTTCTGAAGTTTTGGTAATTATGCATATGCTCATCAATGTGCA